GCGGATGAAGTGGGGATGCTGCGCACCTGAGCCGGTGCGCGGACGAGGTGAACCGGGAGGCTGCTGCTACAGGTTATTATCCCGAAGACAGGCGGGAGTGGAGGGAAGGTCCCGAGGGAGCCAGCGGGCACGTGAGCGCCCGCCCCGTCGGTGGGATCCTAGGTTTTATGAATTGGAACAGCTGGCTCCCTGTCCCGACTAGAGCCCTTCCCAAACTGAAGTCCCCATGCCAGCCCAGCCTGCGGCTCCGCGCCGAGGACAGGGCCCTTCATCACCCGCCTCCCCTGCCAGCGGTTGGGCCCTTTCACAGATGAGCGCCCAGGCTCAGGAGGGCAAAGCAGCTTGTCCGGGGCGCCGAAGGGAGACTGGGACTGGGGCAGTGGGGCACAGGGGGCGAGCGGGGGCAAGCGCAGGGAGCGGGGAGGCGAGGAGAGTGCGGGGAGCCGGGCCCCCGAGGGGTGGTCCTCAGCTCTCCGCCTTCTGTCTCCCTGCCCTTGCAATACAAGGAATTAGGCAACTACAGCTACAGCACGGAGACCTCCCCAGTGGAAAACCACGTCTGCTCCGCCGCGGAGGGGCCCCTGCTGACCTCCTTCAAGGCCGTGTTCATGCCCCTGGCCTACGGCCTCATCTTCCTCCTGGGCGTGATGGGCAACGTCCTGGTGCTGGTGATCCTGGAGCGGCACCGGCAGACGCGCAGCTCCACCGAGACCTTCCTGTTCCACCTGGCGGCGGCGGACCTGCTGCTGGTCTTCATCCTGCCCTTTGCTGTGGCCGAGGGCTCCGTGGGCTGGGTCCTGGGCACCTTCCTCTGCAAGACGGTGATCGCTCTGCACAAGATCAACTTCTACTGCAGCAGCCTCCTGCTGGCCTGCATCGCCGTGGACCGCTACCTGGCGATCGTCCGCGCCGTGCACGCCTACCGCCGCCGCCGCCGCCTGTCCGTCCGCCTCACCTGCGCCGCCGTCTGGCTGGCCGGCTGCTGCTTCGCCCTGCCCGAGATCCTCTTCGCCAAGGTGAGCCAGGCTCCTCGCAACGACTCGCTGCCGCTCTGCACCTTTTCCCAGGAGAACCGAGCCGAAACCAGCGCCTGGTTCGCCTCCCGCTTCCTCTACCATCTGGGAGGATTCCTGCTGCCCATGCTGGTGATGGGCTGGTGCTACGCGGGGGTGGTGCACAGGCTGTGCCAGGCCCAGCGGCGCCCTCAGCGGCAGAAGGCGGTCAGGGTGGCCATCCTGGTGACAAGTGTCTTCTTTCTGTGCTGGTCACCCTACCACATCGTCATTTTCCTGGACACCCTGGTGAGGCTGAAAGCCGTGGGCAGCAGCTGTGAGCTGAACGGCTATCTCTCCATGGCCATCACCATGAGCGAATTCCTGGGCTTGGCCCACTGCTGCCTCAATCCCATGCTCTACACTTTCGCCGGAGTGAAGTTCCGCAGTGACCTGTCACGGGTACTGACCAAGCTGGGCTGTGCCAGTCCTGCCCCCCTGTGCCAGTGCTTCCCTACTTGGCGCAAGAACAGCCTCTCCGAGTCAGAGAATGCCACCTCCCTCACCACCTTCTAGGCCCCAGCCCCCTTGTTTCTACTTTTTTGGGGGATGCCCTGATGCCGGAACCCTCCACGGGCACTGGGATCCGAGCTCCCCTGGGCAGAGTCCTTATATGGGGCAGCCAGAATCAGCGCTTCATTCCAGGACACCCGTCAGCCCTTCTCCCAGACCTGAGGCGAGGCTGGAGTCCAGGAAAGGGGAAGCAGCTCAAAGGCAAAACGAAGGATACCTGTGTCACCTGAACCACCTTGGGCTGGAGGACCCCACACCCCTCTCATCCTAACCATCCAAAGCTCAAAAAACAAATTTACTTCTGTCTTAGCCAGTAAGAAAGTCATTACCCTCCTGGAACGCACTCTGCAACTACCCAGCTTCCCTCCCACCCCACCTGCCAAAAGAAGCTAAAAGCTGAGCACCAGGGATGGAGGTTAAGGCTGAGGAAAGGCCAGCTGGCAACAGGGCGTGGCCTTAACATGTCTTGTCTCTAACAAACACTGATTCTGCCGGCTGTCAGCCCTACGGCATCTGGACCGAGCAGGAAGCTCTGACTGGTGCCGGCCAGGTAACTGTCCCTGGCTCTGATCAGAATGATACTGGGCCAGCTCCGTGTCACTGGAAGGTATGCAGACTGGAGGGCAGACTCCATGCACCCTCAGAGCCCAGCCAGTGTCCTAGAGGGGAACTAAGGCTGAGCCAGCAGAAAGGAGCCCGGCCAGGGGAAGAAAAGATTCTCTTCCCCCAGCCCCAAGGAGGTACAAGCATAAACCAAAGCCAGCCATCTCCTCTGCCCAGGGTGGAGAGCTCCCAGGGCAGGCCAGCATGGCAGGGTCTAGGACCTGGTGAGTCTGGGCACTGATGGAGGAAGCAGACTGGTTTCTCCCTGCCCCTCCTTGGGGGCTGCACAGCCGAGAGAAACTCCTCAAGCAGCAGAGGGTCCCAACCACAGTAGAGGAAGCCTTGGCCAAGAGTCAGTACCAATATGCAGAGCTCCTGAGGGGAAACAGAAGGAAAGAAGCCTCTGGGAGTCAACTCCTACAGCCCCTTGCCTGGAGGCCTCCACTTGTGGCATCCCCCTAGGCTAGATAGTGTGCCCCCCAGGCCTGGGCAGGGAAGTCCCTTGCCCCCAGGAAACAGGGCCTTGCCCTTGAGGATACTACTCAGATGGAACCAGGGGAAATTGCTCTACGCATGCTTGCTCACCACCCGCCTGCTGCCCTCCCGCCGCCCTAGCCTGTGGTCTAGCTGGAGTGGGGCAGCAGGGACCCTGTACTTGCCCAGCGCACATCTGAGTTGTCCACTCCCACTCAAGTCAATCACCCAAGTTCCCTAGGGGGCCCCCAGAGGGAAGGCAGAGATATGACCCAGGGCATTGTCCTTTTTCCTCCCAGCATCCAACAGCAAGCTGGCCTGTGGAGGAGCCAGACATGGAAGCAAAAAGGCAAGAGACTGGATTTTTAATTTTCTGTTTTTAATAAAAAGGCACCTATAAAACAGGTCAATACAGTACAGGCAGCACAGAGACCCCCGGAACAAGCCTAAAAATTGTTTCAAAATAAAAACGAAGAGGATGTCTTCACATATTGTATTTATATATTTATATTTATATATATTTATATAATGGTACAAAATGGCTGGGGTATGGCCATGGAGGGAGGGACGGAGGCTGGCCTGTGGAGTTTGCCTTGAAAAGCTACTCTGATGGTGCAGATGGGAGAAGAGAGTGAGGAGGGCACTGAGCCCTTTGCAGTCTGACCCTCTCCTCTGGGCAGGTAACACTCAGAGTCAGTTTGGAAAGTTTGGGGTCAGGGGTGGGGGCTCATGGGCACAAGGCCCAGGTTGAGGCAGGGCAGGCAGAGCGCCTGGCTGGAGGGCAGGTGGCTCCTGGATAGAGGCCTAGGTCCCGGCCCTGGGAGGTGCTGGGGGAGACAGGAGCCTGCAGCCAGCCCCGGAGGAAGCGCTTGACCTGGCTGACAGTGGACTGAGGACAGCACCAGACTGGGAGAAGTGGGGGCAGATTCCCTTTGTATGACAGCTGCCAATGTGAGACCAGGCCCTGCAGGTGAGGAAGGCTGAGGATAGGGCCATGGCAGAAAACACCTTGTCTAGACATGGCCCCTGGCCCCTGGAGGCACAGCGCAAAAGGCCTCAGCCAGGGAACTACCCTGCCACCTCACAAGGCAGGAAAGGAAGTGAGGAAAGGAGAAGTGTTTTACTGCTGGGGGTGGGGTGGGTGCAGAACACCTAGTCACTTATGGCTTCAGCTGACCAGAGGGGGGAGCCCTTCTGGGGCGGAGGGGGAGGCAGTGACTGCTCCTGGGTGGGCAGAGGGGCTTTGCCAGTGAGTGGGCGGCAGGCACAGAAAGGCCACCAGGATGCTCCCCTGCCCCCTGTCCAACTCTTTCCCTAATCCGTCCTCAGCCGGTGGAAGTTGGTGGAGAGACTGACTTGGCCAAACCCTTTTCCTTCTTCCTTTGGTGACAGAATTAGGTGGTAGCCTCTGGAAGAATCGGGGCCCTGGGGGTACCTGGCCCAGGGCTATTGCAGTGGGCGCAGGACTACCTGGGCCGCCATGTCACTCCTCCATGGCTCCACTCTAGCGAGCCACACAGCCTCCGCCTTTCTCCTTTCCTTCACCCCAGACTGGGGACTAAGGACTTCAAGTTCTGCCTAAGATGTAGCAGCAGGGGACACCAAACATCCACAACTAGGAAGCCAGGGGCCCATGTCACCTGTGTGGGGCAAACACAAATGCATGCACACACGTTCTCCTGAATCACTCAGCACAGACAGGCTGCTGTCCGGAGGTCTCAGCCCTGCCTGGCCCAAGGCAAAGCCCAGGTGGTCTGAGCTCAGTTCAGGTGTGAGCTGTCATTTCACCATCTGGGGAGGAGACCAGAATGGTATTCATTATGGACCCAGAGATGCTATTAACAGTGGATAGGTGTGTCAGACTGCACATCCCTGGGTCCGAAGGAATGGAACGGGCAGTAATTTGAAAGAAGGGGAAAGGGTTTCTTGTATCCCTTTTTTGTGTGACTTCTATCAAAACACAGAAATACAGCAAACACACAAACTGGCACAAAAGCGCAGCTCT